TATCATCTATACTTGTCCCATCTATGCCTCGTCCACACTGTGCCTCGACCCCACTGTGCTACCGTTTTTATTTGTGTAGGTACCTAATCAACATATTTTATATGCTGTAATATAATATATCTTGTTAGATTACACATTGGAATAATTGTCACATGGATCAAAGAGGATTTATTAAGAAATACAAGTTTTTAACAATGAGGAGACTAGAAGGGTCACATACATATGTTATCTTAGTTAAAACTAAAGATGAAGTATACATAAAGTTTGAAATATTAGATAAATTTTGGTTACATACACTGCCAAAGGGTATCAATCACACATCAAAGAGATGAAAGGATCCTACTAATCTTTCACAAAATATTACACAACATACTGCAGAACCATGCCACATGTATAAAAGAATTTTATAGCTGTAATCTCCAAAAAAAAAGGGAGAATACAAAAAAATACATTACATAAGGATACTATTTATATAGAATACTGTATTTTGATATTAATGCAAACGTGTCATAAAAAAAATAAAGAAATACACTTTCATCCACAACACTTCAATCAACACACAAATAGAAATATGACCCTAGCCTTTATATATGTATAACTTCTTACATATTTTAAATGTAACAGCTACAAAAGCTGCTTTTAATATACTCTAGTCACCCTTTTTTTTTTTTTTTTTTTTTTTTTTTTTTTGACTGTTACCACTTTTTCTCAGCTCTCACCGAACGGATTTCTTTCAACGATACGTCAAAAGATCACAAATCGTATCTAGTCGAAGACATTACCCTTCAANTCAGGGCGGCCCACGCCGTCTCTAAAACTCACACCACCACGTTGTGAATCAGCCCGAAATTAATCAAGAGCTGATTCGCAACGTGGTGTGGCCCCCTCCCGTTAACCGGATCCCTGAGTGTTGACCGTTAGGGAGGACTGCCAAAATAACTCACAACAATNTACCTAAGGCGCCGGCCTAAACCAGCGCCTTAGGTCCTCCTGTACCGGGCGGCGCGGCTGCCTCTGTCTCAGGCGTTCAGCTTCCTCCTTCTTTTTCAAGATGGATTCGGCGAACGCCTGGACGAGCCTCCACGCCTCCCGGCTCCTCAACATCAGGTCCACCATGGACCCGACTCGAAACGTGGATCCTAGTCGAGATTCCAAAGAGTCCCGATCCTGNTCGAGACTCCAAAGAGTCCCGTTCCTGGGCCCACGCCTCGCACCGGAAGAGGGTGTGCAAAGCGCTATCAGCCTCTCCCGGACGATCCGAACAGTGGTCGCACGTCGGCGCGGCTGCTTTAAGAATATGGTGTAGGTACTCGTTAAAGCAGCCGTGGCCGGACATCTCTTGGGTGAGACGAGAAGTCATCTCACCGTGAGTCCGGTCCACCCACCTGTCCAGCCGATCGGGTCCTATGAGGGACCTGGTCCACTCGCCTCTCGTTTCCTCCGAGAGGCGAGTCCGCCACCGGAGCATGGTCATCCGCCTGAGCGCTAGCCGGTCCTCGGGTTCGAGGGACCGGTTTCGCTCTCGGCGGAGCTCATGCCCGGCGGCGCGTTCCTCGGCGAGCAGGTCGGCGGGCGGCAGTGACGACAGGATACCCGCCGCCACTCCGGACACCGTTCGGTACGCCGAAACTGTCCGGATCGCCGCCCGTCTTTGCACCCAGAGCAGGGCTTCACGGTTTTTGGACGAATACTCAAAAGTATCCGACCAAACCGGGAACGCGTACAGGAGAACCGAGTGTAAAAGTCTACGCCGCATCTCTCTCGGCCCTCCCAGATTGGGCATGAGTACGGCCAGGCAATTCATGACTTTCTGGGCCCGCTGGGCCGCACGAGTAATGTGCGGCCCGAACTTTAGACGTTTGTCTATGACAAGGCCCAGATAAGTCATGGAGTCCTTAAGCGGGATCTCCACCCCCAGCACGGCGAGCCGTGGAGGAGTGAACTTGTACCTGCCCGTGAACAAGTGCAGGTACAAGGTGCCAGGTGGGCTTCGAACCGGGTGACAAGCAGCCGCTCGAGGATCTTCCCCAAGTCGTCCAACATGCAAAGCGGTCGGTACGACGAGGGGAGACCTTCGGGCTTGTCACCCTTTCTCAGAAGCACCAGCCTGGCCTTCTTCCATTTCGTGTGGAATTCACCCTCCGAGAGGCAGCGGTTCGCGACGGCGTGTATCCAATCCGGGGCAAAGTCGTGGACCAACCCTCACACCCGGTTTGGAATCCCGTCGGGGCCGGGAACTGTGTTCCGGCCCCGCACACGCGCCACCGCGTCAGCTACCTCTTGGCTGGTGAATTCCACCACCGACACGTCGTCTCCAAACGCCGGGGGAGGCAGGGGCAGGTGTGTCGGAAAGAGCGTGTCTACCGCCCTTTACAGCACTTCCGCCTCCAGCTGACCGGAAGCCGGTGGACCGCGGAGCTTCCGCATAACGACCCGATAGGGTTTCCCCCACGGGTCGTGGTCCACCGACTTCACGAGTTCGGCCCAGCATTTTGCTTTGGCCCGCCTGATGGCGAGCTTCAGCTCTTTGCGGGCCGACCTCAGCGCCTCCCTCGGGTCCGGGGATTCCGGGTCCCGCGGCCAATGGTTGGAGAGCGTCATAGTCCTCCTGACCCTGACGCACTCCTCACGCCTGGCCACCACCTCGGCGTTCCACCAGTGGACTGGCGGTCCGCGAGTCGACGGCGGTCGTTTGGCCGGAAGGGCGAAGTCGCAGGCTGCGACCACCCTCTGGTCCAACTCTTCCGCCGCTTCGTTAGCGGAGACGTGTCGGTCCTGTACCGCGGGCGCCCGACTTGATGTCCGCGACCGTTAGGCCGCGGTCCATCACGCCGATCGCCGCTCTGCCGGACCGGTCCAAGAACTAGCCGGCAAAGTCCTGGACCGATCCGGCGTGCGGGTCCGAAACGATGCACACGTCGGTGCCCATCTCGTACGCCGTCCGCCGGACCAGATCCTGGGCAATCCTACAGTGGTTGAGATTCGTTTGAAGGAATCTCATCCACTAGCGGGCTGCGCTCCGGAAGACCCCTCGGTCTTTCCCCCCTTCTTCCTCATTTGAGGGGCTTTTTTAGCAGACCACCCATTTGTCTTCTGGACCTTTAAGGCCGGACCCGCACCCGGACAATCCTTGGCCTGGTGCCCCTCCTTTTTACAGGAGAAGCACCCCTTGGATTTGTCCGGGCCCTTGCAGGCCTGGGCCACGTGCCCGTGCTCCAGGCACCTGTATCACCTCGGACCTTGTCTCCAAGGATCCTCAGCCTACAGGTGACCCACCCCACACGGATACGGGCGAGACCTGCGAGGCGGGTGGCCAGCCTTGCCGGCACCTCCACCCTGGCGTAACGCCCTTTGCCGCCGGAGTTCGCACGGACCACAACGGGCAACAGCAGCCATTAATCTAGTCACCCTACTAACATACAATATAAGTAATATTAACATTAATTTTAAGTTTGCACATTATAACACAGCATGGGACATGCTGCAAAAAAAACTGGGGTACACCTTGTAATGAATCAAAATAGAAGTTTCGAGAATATTCGAGAAACTTCTAGAATAATCTTTCTACATAAATAATTATCAATTTTAAATATTTTTCTGATCGACAATTATTTTATTACAATTTACAAATATATAGTTCATTTGGAGCGATGTTTACATTAATGTCCATTTTTTAATTACCATAAGCGTATCTGTGGCGCCGAACAAACGGCAGGATTAAATAGTTAAATTCTCAAGAAAAACTAGCCTCCCTTCATTACCTTACCAATTAGTTTAATATAAAAGGGCTAGTAAAATAAGCACAACATACACACTCGCATACTCTCATTTTCATTCTCACTTATTATTCCCCTATACTCTAACACTTTCATATTAAAAGTTAATAATGTAAAATTCATGTTACTTTTGTTAATTTGAATTATAAGACATATATACATTTGTTAAAATAATTAATAAAAATCATAGAAATAAACTCAGTATGTTACCCCTCATACCAGTATTTTTATTTAATTAAATTAACTTAAAATATGGACGTCAACAAGGAACATCACAATTCATCATTTACCTACGAGTCCAATTGGATATCAAGGTAAGTGCAGTCGTAAGACATGCACTACATTCATGTAATATTAAGAAATAGGACAGAGTGGGTAAGAGGTAGGATTAAGATGATATGAATGAATCCAATACAATCTAAATAACTTATAACCCTTTCCTCCCATCTTCACCACATCCTACCACTACCCCTCTCTTACTGTTTTTTCTTTTTTTTATACAGGGTGATCCATTTAACATTGACCAGCAAATATCTCAAAAACTATTTATTATTTTAATAATTTTTTTTTTTAATTATTTTAGTTACATAAAACATAGTCCATAGTTTTATTCATAGTTTTATGTAACTAAAATAATTTAAAAAAAAAATTATTAAAATAATAAATAGTTTTTGAGATATTTGCTGGTCAATGTTAAATGGATCACCCTGTATTACAAACCATACTGTGTTTCTATTTATTAATAGATTACATTTAATATACTTCAAGGTTTTGATAATGTATAGTTTTTTATTTGATTTAAATATCTTAAATTAAATAAATTAAACTTAGCTATAACTAGTATTTTTTTATACTTCATGACATATTTGAATTAAAATATATATGTACATAATAATATTTACAGGATGCTCAACATTTTTCAAAAATTTAAAAACTCCATTTCATTTGATCGAATAAAATTATTATAAATAAAACTATAATTTTGTATTGAATTTAAATAAAACTTTTAAATATTATTTAAATTTTTTTAAAAGTAAAAATTAGGTCTCATTATATAAAATAATATAATATAGCAAAAAAAATTGTTGTAAGTAATTTTAATGTTATAAACACAGACTTTCAAAGAGAATATATTATATACATCCTATAAAAAATTAATAAAAAATAATATAAAAACCTAATTTATTTGATGGAAATATTTTTTTACCAATGTACGAAAACAATTTATATTTTTCATACATATTTTTATTGAAAAATAAATGATATAAAATAATAATGAAGACAATTTGCACATGATCATTAGTAGCCTTCTCATAATTTCAAAAAGTAATTAATAATATTAGTATATTTTACGATGAATCTTTATTCCTTTATTTTAGTATATATTGTCGTTATGGTATTGAAACCAGATCAAGGAGTATATTGCAGAAGTTATTATACAAGGTATAGGCTTTACATTGAAAGATTTGTGACTCACGTTGGTTTACGAATTAAATTTAGTGAAATGCTAAATCAAAAATCAAATTCAAATAATACTACTGATATAGAGAAAGCTTTTGAACCAGACAAGTTTAGCGAATTAATGTGTAATTATCAATATACAATAAGTGCTCTCAATTACAAATACACTATAATACTAAAAAAATTCCTTGATTATATAGCTATAGTTATGGGTAAATGTCAGCAATTTCATGAAAGAAACTTATCGGAAAACTTTATTCATTGTGTAATATTACTTGTAGAACAAGTGAAACAATCTAAGACTATGTTTGAAAATTTACACAATGCTATGAAGTTTATAAGCTATATAGATATAAGATTTTTGTTTTCTGAAAACATCGTGCTACATCCTATAATTGACGAAATCGAATTTATGTATCAATTTGTCATAGAAATAAGTTTAGATACTAGGTCTTTTGATCTCAATAAATCACCAAATCAAGAATCTGAAATAAAATTTGAAAATTTGATTAAATTTCATAAAGATGCATCTAACAAAGTAAATAATATTTTTCATAATAATAATGTCAACAATAATTCTATTGTAAGTTGGACAACAATTAATATAGCGAAATGGCATAATGAAAATAACTTTGACATTGTATATTCAATAAGTAATACACTTAATAAGTTTTACAACGAAACTATAAAAATTTGGTACGAAAATCTAGGCTTTGAACAATTCCTTTACCCCACAACATTTAAGTAAGAATTCATATATTTTGATTTATTTTCTAATATATTTGATTACAAATATGTTTTTCGAAAATACAAAAAATTTTAATTAAAGATAAAATTTTTTTTGGTCATTAATTTGTAAAACGTATTATAATAAATATTCGATTGCTATTTATTAACATGTTTTTATGTGAATTCACATAAATAAATAGCTATTTTTGAGCTTAAACAAATTTTACAAATAAGGTTATGCTTGTTTTTATTCAAAATTATTAACTCGTAAAATTTTAAGAAAAAAATATTTTTGAAATAATGTTATTTTTTTAATTTATCAAATAAAAAAAATTTTAATACATAATTTCATTTTTTAATATTTGAACATATAAATAATAATATGAAATACCGAATCTATATTTTTATAAAATGTTTTCATAATTAATCTGAATAAAAGTAAAGCTATCTCAATTATAATAATTAAATATATAACATCTATGTAATTACTTAATAATTAAAATATATATTTTTTAATATAGACGAGTGCCTCCAAAACATAGAACAATAAATCAAAATGATGGAATTGAAGCTCTTAAGATTCTTCTTCAGGAATCTGAGTGGAAATCAATGAATCACATAAATATAATTTATTGTGGTAAACTATTCAACGTAGATCATATAATAAAAGACTCAATTAGTGAAATCAATTTTCAAATAAAAAAAGAACATGTATCGCAATTATTAAGATGTAGGTATGCAGAAATAATTAAAAATTACTATACATTACTATCTGCTATTTTAGATTTATGCAATAAAGATGCATGTGCCTTCTATCACAATTATTTGATTCAATTGTTTAACTCATTTCACAAATCTCAAAAAATGATGCAAGGATTGTATGAAGCTTTAATTATTCTAAATAAATCATCAATATGGAATGTTAATTCTAACTCTAAATCGAGTTTAAAGGTCATATCGGAATGTATTGAGTATATTCTCGATATATTAAAAAGCAATAAATTTTCTCTAGAAAATTTTATTGATAAAAATGATAAGGAAAAATCTGAAATTGTTGAAAGTTTTCTAGAAATATTTGAAAATTTTCTTAAAGAATTTCATTTTTGCTTACATAAAGAAATGAAACCAATGCACATCCGTTGTTCTATGAAAATACCTTATTTTAAAAAATTAAAAAAAATAAATGAATTCAAGAATTTTGTATTTACATTGAACAATCCAGTAAATACATCAGATAATCAAAATCCTGAATATTATATGCAAATGATTCTTAATGCATGTAAATATTTGGACAATTTTTGTGAAGATGTTTACAAATCTTGTTATGTAAATCTGGGTTTTAGAAAAGTTTCAGACTGTCAAAACATAAAATTAGACGGCAAACTTGTTAAATTTACTGAAGATTTTTCTACTTAACTTATATTATATAGTTATAGTAAGAATCAACACATTGAAAATAAAATGTAAATTACATAAAATTATTTTTTTATTATTTATTTTAGATTTCACACGTTCAATTAAAAGAACCCTTCTGAAATTAACATTTTGTTTTACTATCCCTAGTATTTTTTTGTAAATTTGCTGTATTTGTATTCAACTGCACAAATAACATAACATACTATTAAAAATATTTGATTGAGTTATAATAATATATTGTTTATGGCTAAAACTTCAAGAGCAATTATTTGTTCTTTCATTTAATAATATGAAAGCCCAGCATAGTTTTGCCACGACATATTAGCGCAGCACCAGAGTTGGGACCAGTATAGAAAATATCTGACAATAATTAACTTTCTATTATAAAAAATTCTATGATATGAGTTCGTTAAATTTTTCAATAGTTTTTACTTTTGTAATTTCACGATTTCATGTTGTAAAATTTCACTAAAATATTACATGTTAAATTATTAGCTGAATTAAAAATAAAGTAAATTTTTAGAAAAAATTTCGATTTTTAACTTAAACGTCCTATTTGAGACTTTTATGAGCCTTGATGCGAAGCTTTTTTTTTTTTTTACACGAACTGCCTTATTCCGGGCCTATAATACTAAATACTAAACGTTACAATAAATATAATAAAAAAAGTACAATTCGTTATTCAAGACTACCTATATGATAAAATTAAAAAAATCAATAAAATCTAATATATTGTTGGTGTTACTATAAATATAGCAAAATTAAATAATTAGCTGCATGAACAAAATAAATAACTAGTGTAATTACATTGAGGGAGTTCAAGTAGGAAAATTAGAACAATTAATTACGAAGATATTTAAGCAAGATAAACAATAAAAATAAAAGTAACAGTTAACACACTAAGCAATAATATTATCTTTCTAGTAATAAGATTTTTTTGTTATTACTTTATCACAATGAATCCGCCTCCAGCTGACCTAAAGTCGGTGGCCTGCGTAGATTTCGCATTGCGACCCGATAAGGCTTCCCTAACGGTTTTTTCGCGATACACCAATTTCACTAGTTCGGCCTAATATTTCGCCTTATACCGCCTTGTGGCCATGTTCTAGAATGTTCGGCCGCCGCCTCTAGAAGATTCCTCTGACTATTTAAGGGCAATATCGTCGCTCCAGTCAATCAATCGATCAGTCAAACACTTACGCATTCTGTCTTAAACGCGCTTCGTCTCTCGCTGTTATTTGTTAGTTCGTTGTAATATAATATAGTTGTTATTAAATCGTAAAAGTGTTTATTACTTCTATATATTACACCTCGCTACATTGGTGACCTCGACGTGATTTGAACACGCAACCTTCTGATCTGTTAAAAATGTTTCAAAAAGATGTTAACAAATGTGAAGATAATGTAATTATATTAGTACATTGGTTGTTATTATTAAATGATTTCCAAGTTCTTAAACCAGGTCAATAAAACATCAAACAGTGCACCACATTCTTACGACACATGGTCAGCCTATAGCCTGCCGCCCACGCCGCTTAGCTCCAGGTAGACTAAAAATCGCCAAACAGGAATTCGCGGAAATGGTCAAGGCAGGTACCGCTAGACCTTCAAGCAGTCCGTGGTCTTCACCATTACATTTAGCACCGAAAGGGGAGAACAGCTGGCGTCCTTGCGGTGATTACCGCGCGCTGAACGCCCGAACTATACCAGACTCCTATCCAGTCAGACACATACATGATTTCTCGCACAACCTGGCTAATTGCACGCTATTTTCCACAATCGATCTGGTAAAGGCTTACCGTCAAATACCTANGCTTACCATCAAATACCTGTTAATCCGGACGATATATGCAAAACAGCCATTACCACTCCATTCGGACTTTACGAATTTCCTTTTATGACATTCGGATTGCGAAATGCTGGACAAACTTTTCAACGCTTCATAGACGAAGTTACCAATGGGTTGGACTTCTGTTATGCATATATTGATGACATTTTGGTATTCTCTAAATCGGAAGAGGACCACAAACAGCATTTACGCACTCTTTTCGGGAGACTTGCTGACTACGGTGTTGTAGTTAACCCGCAAAAATGTGTATTAGGTTCGGCTGAGGTGAAATTTCTAGGTTACCTAGTATCTTCTGAAGGCACCCGCCCGCCACCGGAACGCGTGGACGCCATACGACAGTATCCATTGCCAAAATCTATGCAAGGATTACGCCGGTTTTTGGGAATGGTAAATTTTTATCGCCGGTTTATTCCCAAAGCTGCCGACCTGCAAGCACCACTTCACGGTATTCTCAAAGGCCCGAAGACAAAAGGTTCCCAACCGATAGAATGGACTCCCGAGTTAGAAAAAGCGTTCACCACATGCAAAGAAAGTCTTGCGACCGCTACTCTTTTAGCACATCCTCATCCAGCCGCACGACTTGGACTATTCACAGACGCATCTAGCCAATCTATCGGCGCATGTCTGCAGCAGCGAGTCAATAACATCTGGCAACCCATAGCATTTTTTTCAAAGAAAATGTCGGTGAAACAAAGTGCGTGGCCTGCGTATTATCGTGAGTTGCTTGCCATCTATGAATCGGTGAAGTATTTCAGGCACATTGTCGAAGCACAACCATGTACCATTTTCACCGATCATAAGCCACTCGTATATGCTTTCACCCAACGGAGAGAAAAGATACCTCCTACGCAACTCAACCAGTTGACATTCATATCCGAATTCACCACCAACATTCAACATTTTACTGACAACAATTCATCTCTTCATTTGGAGAAGGTACTAGTGCCAGGATCTATATTTATTGCGACACGTCAACGGGATGCCCACGGCNCTATATTTATTGCGACACGTCAACGGGACGCCCACGACCATTTTTGCCACAACGATTCCGGCGTCACGCATTTGATCAGTTACACAACCTTAGTCACCCCGGTGCACGCGCAACAGCTCACTTAGTTTCAGAACGATTTGTGTGGCCAGCAATGAAAAAGGATTGCCGTTCCTGGGCACGTGCCTGCGTCCACTGTCAGCGATCGAAAATAAGCCGACACGTCTCAGCCCCACTAGGAAACTTTGAAACACCTTCACGCCGATTCAAACATGTTCATGTCGATATCATCGGTCCATTGCCGCCATCACAGTCCTTTAGGTACTGTCTGACGGTAATCGACCGTTTCACCCGTTGGCCGGAGGTGTATCCACTCGAACGTATAACAGCAGACGATGTCACTAAGGGTTTCCTCAATTGCTGGATTTCACGCTTCGGAGTACCTCAATACGTTACGACTGACCGTGGTACTCAGTTTGTTTCAGCTACTTTAAAAACTTTAGCAAAACGTTTTGGTTTTACGCTTCGCCCCACTACCAGTTGGCATCCTGCTGCAAACGGATTCGTCGAACGAATGCACCGACAACTAAAGGCAGCCATCATGGCCCACGCAAAAGACTCGTGGACTGAGTCACTGCCTATCGTGCTTCTCGGAATACGTTTGAGGGGGGTGGAAGTTTAGGATTAGGGTGGTCAACCCCAAGTAATTGGAATGCGACAGCACCTGTGGCTCCGCCGCCGGCTGCTTGGTCTGAGGTGGTTAGGCGGCAGAAGACGCCTAACACGGTGGCGGACCCGCATCCGAACCCTGGGCTCCCTGCTATTACGCGTCCCGTAATTAAGGCAAGGGCCCCGAAAACGGAGGCCATTATTATTGGTCCTCTTAAAGAAGACCAACAATATTCGGCCACCATAAAAAGGGTCATGGCGAATATTGACCTTCAGACGCTGGGCGTCGTGGTCTCCGGTACCCGCCGGACCAAGTCGGGAGCAGTGCTCCTGGAGGTTCGGGGTACGGGGGCCCAGGCTGACCTGCTGGCCGCCAAGGTCAGAGAGACCCTGGACGGCATGGACGTCCGCGTGCATCGCCCAGCGATGTCCGTGGCGTTCATGCTGTTAGACGTGAAGGAGTGGATAGTGGAAGAGGACGTCGTAGGGGCGTTGACCACTATCCTCTCCAAAGATGGAGTGACGACACCCGTCGGATCGGTGTCAGTCCGACTACACGGGAGCGGCAAGGGCCGCTTCGCGTGGTGCGAGGTTCCCATCAGAGCCTCGCAACCGCTGGTCGGACTGACACGACTCAGAGTGGGTTGGAGCACGTGCCGGATCCGGGTCCCAAAAGACAAGGGTCTGCGCTGCTACAGGTGCCTCGAAAGGGGTCACGTGCAGACGGCCTGTAGCGGTCCGACCGGACCGACGCGTGCTTCACGTGCAAAGGGGAGGGCCACCGGTCAAGGGACTGTCCCAAGAAGGTGGGAGAGCCGGAGAAGACTTCATAAAGTATCTCCTGTCCTCACTCTATTTAGTGTGATATGTGTTTTGTGAATTATTATCTAAGCCAACCCTCGCGAAGTTCTGCCCCCACCTCCACGTGGTGCAGCCCGGGCAGCGGATCCCACCTTTTGGGATCCGGCTAACGGGGGAGGCCACACGACGTTGTGAATCAGCTCTCGATTAATTTCGGGCTGATTCACAACGTGGTGGTGCGAATTTTAGACGGCGTAGGCCGCTCTGAAGCAATACCTCGCGGTAGTTCCAGGGCGGTCCACATCATGCCGGATGTGGAAAAAAAAAAAAAAAAAAAGTGTCAAATCAATTACCTACTCTATCGGTTGTATCTTAATATACACTACACTTAAATGATACTATAAATAAACTCACACATACACACATATGCATTTATAACATTGTGTCTAATGTATAACATGATAAAAAGTAACCGTAAAATGAAAAAAATGGAATATAAATTTTAGTACTCATATTAAATGTAATGTAACTCGAAAAATATTTGTTTAAATAAAAAAATATTAGATAATTTTTTTGTTTATAATTGTCTTTTAAACAACTTTTGTACGAAACTTTTTTTGTAAGTTGAATATTTTTTGACAAAATTAAAAAAGCTCATATTTTTGATCTTTTGCGAANAAAAAAGCTCATATTTTTGAACTTTTGCGAGGCTGTAAAAAAAAGCTCAATTTCAATCAATGAGGACTATTAGTATGTCATTATACATATTTTAATTCAACTATTAATAAAACAAAATTTGGTTGGGACTTTTTTAAGAAATTTTTCCTTTGTTGACTGGCCTAGATGTCAATTTTAAACTTGTAATTGAGCTAAAAGTTATGGTAATATATTCAATTTTTTTTACTATAATCTTTCATAAATCTTTATCAAAAATTTTTTATCAACTTTAAGNTCATAAATCTTTATCAAAAATTTTTCATCAACTTTAAAGAACCAAAAAAATAGGTTAAAAATGAAAATTTGGACTGATTATTTTTAACATATTAAAAATCAAATCAGTAATAATTTGAAAACGATTTTTTTTTTCTTTTAATTATTTTTTATATGTAATTAGTAATAATATAAAAAATTAGAACTGATCGATAAAGTCTAATTGCAGATTTGAAAACAACGCGAAAATTTGATTTAGAAAAGTATATTTTTGCTTCTGATGAAAGTTCCTTGAAGTCCAGTGCATTAATTTATAGTAACAAACAGTTTTTATTGATAATTATTGTATCAAGCCCATTAAATTTTTATACACGTAAAAGTAAATCAAAATATAACTTCTTTATTATTTTTACAATTTTTCCGCTTAAATTACAATATTACATTATTAAATCACAATTTCATACTAAATTTAAAAACTATAATTAGTATTTATTCATATATTATATTTTAAAATCAAAGAATTACTAATCAGGATATAATTAAAGAAATAAGAGTTAATGTTGCTTTTAGAATAATCCACCAATTTCTCTAAATGAAACACNTAAAGGAAACACTATCTACAGATTTGCATCGAAGCGTTTCTTATGATAGTGATTTTAATCACTGTCAGATATCATCTATACTTGTCCCATCTATGCCTCGTCCACACTGTGCCTCGACCCCACTGTGCTACCGTTTTTTTTTTTGTTTATGTTATGTATTAGAATTTTTTTTAAATTATTTAAAAACATATAATTTGGTTAAAACCCCCCTCAAAAATTTGTTCCAGCTACGGCCTTGTTAGTACTTATGAGTATTAAATATATTTATGTTCTCACATGTTAATAAAATTATTTAAAAATATTAATTTGTTTATCATAATTTAATTTATCATTTTTATTTAAGTCACAAAAGTTACATATTGATGACGTCGTATGTTTTATTTAAATTACATTCTTTAGACCATATCATTTAAAATTCATGTTAAATAAATTTATGTTAATAAATTTCAAGATAAATAGTTTTCTACTTTTGTTTCATAAATGTTTCTTTTACCCTACAAAAATAATTTCCCTGAATTTTATAAGCTACGGATAATAGCTTTTTTTGAAGCCATCCCATCTAAACATGGTAAAGTGACAACTTAGTCACGAAATTTTGTTGTACATTAGTTGTCAATGACTATCATAAACTGATAAATTTGCAAAATCGGTAAATCTATAAAAATTATAATGCAATTTTAATTTTAAGTATAGGTAATTGTTTTTCAACTAAAATTATGTATGTGTAACCGTGATATAATAACTTTAATAATTAATATGTGTAATTATAATTTAAGTTTTAAGTATGTAGGATCAGTTGTGAAAAAGAAATATGGTATTGACTAGGATGTAAGACAAAGCATTAAGTGCGGAGGTTATAGAGTAAATAAGTGTCTGTTGTGTTATATAATAAAAGAATTCCAATGAGGCTGAGAGGTAAGTTCTCTAAGACTGTAGTGAGATTAGCTATAATGCATGATTTAAAGTGTTGAGTTGTTGACAAGAAAATAGAGTAGAGAATGAGTGTAGCAAAGAGGAGATTGTTTAGATGTATCAGTGGAGTGACTAGAGAAGATAGGAAAAGGAACGAACATGTAAAAATGAATAATAATGTAGCGTTAATCGTTGAATGATACAAAATAGGCTTAGATGGTTTGATCATATTATGAAGAGAGAGGAATCGGAAGCTATAAGAACAGTTATATAAACTAATGTTGAAGGGAGAAGAGGTAGAGGAAGACCTAAAAAGATATGAAGGGATGTTATTGAATGCGATATGAGGACGGCTGATATGAGCGTAGATGATGTGGGAGATTGTGTTAAGTGGAAGTTTAGGATTAGGGTGGTCAACCCCAAGTAATTGGAATTAAGGGGAGCAAAAATAAGAATAATTAATCGATTTAATTAATTCATTGTTGGAAGTGACGTAACTTTGTAGTCACTTTCTTACATCACTAAATACTTTAAAATTAAATAAAAGGTAAGTAAATTTACGTTAACCCAATTATTTAGAATTAACAGCCTCGGTACAGAAGGATAGAGCAATAGATCTTTATACATATATTCATCATATTTAAGATAATCATCTCGACTGGGTATCGGATAGGAGGCCTCAAGCCACTGCAAGAATAACTCGTCAAAAATAATTAATTACATTATTAAACCTCAACAAAGAAAAAACTTTTATTTAATTTTTTATCTACTTGTCTTTATTAGTAAGTCTGTTCCTAATAATACTTTACATAAAAATTTAAATTAAAAAATAATAATTATTTTGTAGGGATAATTATACTTAATAAATTTTAAATAAACTTTAATATATCATTATATTATTAAGTGTAAGAACTAATAATGATTCAAATCTAGTGATAAGCTATAAAACATTACATTTTTATAAATTTTACAAAATAAGAATTACAGAAAAGTTCTTTAAAATTATGCATGACATCTAATAATTAAAAATAATAAAGTAATGATTTAATCAAACTTACTTTTTCAATTGATAAACAGTGTTTATTATGTAGTGAAGACTAAGTCGATAAATTTACATTAAATCATATAAGTATGTCGTCTAACTTTTATATTGATAGTGTAAAAGTTTTCTAAAACCTAGATTTTCATAACAAGATTTGTATACATCTTCACAAAAATTGTCAAAATAATTACATGCATTTAGAATAATTTGGAATGGCCATCCAATATTTGAATAAATTGATGTATTTTGTAGATTCTTAAAATTTTCTATATAAGACTCTTCATTTTTAAAAGGTTCATTTATATAACACTGGCCTTTTATTTGACTAATATCGCTTTGTAACTCAGATCTAAAGTCGTTAAAATAGTAGTTGAAATCGCTCTGTAACTGATTACTAAAGGTATAAAGATAATTTTCAAAAATTACTAGATGTTTTTCAACTATTTCTATTTTATTTTTATCATATAAAACGATAAAGTTTTCTTGTGAAAAATTATTGTTCTTTAATATACTGAGAAATCCTGTGATCCATTTTAAAATGTTTTGTAAACTCGATTCAGAATTCAAATGAACACTACATATTAAGGATTTATTTAAAGTAATTAAAGATTCATACAATCCTTCAATCATTTTTTTGGATTCGCTGAATGAGCTAAATAATTTAATTAGACAATTATGATAGAAATCCAATGCATCTTTTTTGCATACAGTTAATATAGCAGATAGTATTGTATGATAGTTTTTAATTATTTCTGTATACCTACAGATTAATAATTGTAATACCTGTTCTTTTTTTTATTCGAAAATTTATGTTATTAACTTCATCTTTTATTATACCATCTACATTTTGTAGTTTACCAAAATAAATTATGTTTATGTGGTTCATTTCTTTCCAACCCGTTTCTTTACGAATAATATTGAGAGCTTCAATTCCATCATTTTGATTTGTATCTGGATCTATTGGAGGTATAAATCTATTAAAAAAAAATTATGTTATTTTAAAAACATATTATATCATTTTCATTCAATTAGTTGGTTATGAAAAAATGGTTAAATTATTATTTACAGGTTAAAATATTAAGAAATAACATAAAAAATTCGCTAAAGATTTTGTATGGTTTGATAATTCAAAAAAATTATAATATTTTTTTTATTATTTTCATTAATTTCTTTTGGATAAATAATATAGATTAGCATAGACTTTTATTAATTTTTAGAAGAGCTGTTGAATAACAATACTGTAATCATTTAAAAATTATTATACCAAAAGTTTCTTTAGTTTTAACTGTAAATTGCTTGTATTATCTTAAAACATATTAAAATATTTATAAGCAAATATGAAATTAGAAAATAAATTTAAATTTAGGTATTCTTACTCCGCTGCTGTGGGATTGAGAAATTGCTCAAAGCCTAGATTGTTGTACCAAATTTCTATATTTTCGTTATAAAATATAGTAAGAAGTTCACTTTTTTTTGAAAGTATAGCATAAGATCTTCTTCTCTGAGGTAATTTTGCAATATTCAATTTGTCCACATCACTATTTATATAAATGTCCAAGATTTTATTTTGTTTAAAAAAGTTTGTATTAAAATCGAATATTTTCCAATATAAATTTACATTAAAGGATTCAATATTCTTAAACTTATATTCAGAGATATAATATGGTAATCTTTTGAGATCAGAAGAGTCCTCTTTATTTTTTTCTAAGAGATATTGATATATAAAGTCCATTTCATCAGTTATAGCATGTGTCACGGCTCCTTCAGAAAACAAAAATCTTATATCTATGTAGCTAATAAACTTCACAGCATTATAGAATTTTTCAAACATAGTCTTGGAATTTTTCACTTGTTTTTCAAGAAACATTACACAATCAATAAAATTTTCCAATAAATTTTCTTTTTTAAATTCAATACATTGATTAATGATTATTTTCATGTAATAACGGTATTCGTGCAGTATTTGAATGTAATTGAAATTTAGTATACTTATTGTATAATGATATTTTTGTGTGAAATCACGTGGGTTTGTTTTAGGTTGGATAGTTTCCTCCATACCAGTAGTATTATTTGAATCTTGTTTTTGATACGATATAATTTGTGAATAAATGTAACTTATCACTCTTTCAATATAATTTTTATATTCTATATGATAACTTTTGCAATGAACTCCTTCATCTGGTTGCGACACGAAAATGGCAATGGATATTAAAATAAACGAATAAAATTTCATTGTAAAAAAATACTTATGTGTAAAATTTCACGTTTGAAACTTAAGAAGATTTTAGATCAATAAACGCAAATGTCTTAACTATAATTGTATATTATATTTATTTCTAAGAAAAGGTGTATTAGAAAATATCTTTTTTTTATGGCAGTATAAATATATTTCAATCCAATAAGGTGTTTATTTTTATCAAAAATTTTTTTTAGGATGTGTAAATATATTATTATTTATAATATATTGATGAATTTTCTCTTTGAAATTCTGCATTCGTAATATCAGTTAGAAGATCATTTTGTATTATATTATAATATTTCATATAACGATACCTAATAATCACTATTAAAAATAATTTAATTTTAATATTATAAAGGTATTATTTAAATTGAAAATAATTTTTACATACTGTAAATAATATTATTTTTTTTTTGTGTGTAAACTTATTATATTCATTTACGATAAAAACGTTTTCAAATGGATCAATATTGTAATTTAAAATTTGTACTTCTAATAATTTTAACTCATTTATTTTTAGCAATTAAAATCAGATGAAAAAAACAATAAAGTATCTTAACAATGTAATACATTATATAAAAAAATAAAATATTTTAGCGTTATTAAGGCTCTTATTAGTGCAGTTTGTCTGAAAATCTTTTTATAACTACTTTTTTTTTAAATGTCGTTAAAGTATACATAAAATAAAAAAATATTTAAAAACTAAAATATTTTAAATTTTTTCACCTTCGAAAAAAAAATTAACTTAATTAAAAATGCAAGGTATTGTTAATATTCAGTACGTTTAATTAGTCATGGGAGATATTAAACTATTCCATCATACACAATCTATTAGAATAGTTTTCAAAACCTTTCGGTTGCGTAAATAAATGTTCCAATAAATATCCCATAGTTAAAAATGTTCGAAAATGACCATTAATAAAAATGATAGCACAATGGGATCGCGGCATAATGGAGACATAGTTGGGTCCAATATAGATTTAATCTGATAGTGATTAAAATCACTATCATTAGAAACGCTTCGATTCAAATCTGTAGATAATGTTTAATGTTAACAAATTAATGGATTATTTTAGAAGCTACATGATCTGCTAGTTCCTTATTAATATCATGATTAAGATAAATTACGTCGAATGAAAAAGGGATTATTAAAAAATATTATTTCTCATAAAAAAATTATGTTGATCCACACTTTTCAATAAGTTATAGCATTATAAAGGTAAAAATGTAAAAAATAAAATCGAGAATTTTCACACGAAAATAGCATATAATAACCATTTTCACCTTGAAGACAAGTCCAGAAGTCAAATTTTTTTTAGCTTCGATGCGAAGCTGAGAAGGTATTGGTTTTACTAAGATGTGTTTTTTTTTTTTTTTTTTTTTTTTTTTTTTTTTT